CATGTCAAGAGACCTATTTAAGCAAGTTTTCCATTATAATCGCTGTGTTGCTTTTACCGCCTGTGCTGCTGTAGTGTCAAAGTTTGACGTAAACTCGACTGAACTCAGGTGGAGAGTGTCAGAGAAAATTTGGTAAAGCTAATGGAAGCAAGCCAATACAAAAAAGAGACAAGTGTGCAGACCAGCGGCGTCACCGTTGACATCTGAGCTGAGCTGAAAGTGTGAAGAAACATGGGAATTGAGCAGAGGGTAGAGCTGCTGTCACCACTGCTCTGCTTCAACAGCACACAGACAAAGTGCCTGATGTGCAGACAAGTAAAAGTGCTGCGACCAAGATAGATCTGCCTGAGATTAATGTTAGAATTATCGAAGGCTTTTTGAATTCACACTCACACCAGATTGAACACCGTGTGACATCCTCTCAGCTTTCAATTGTTTTTCTTTCCAGTGTACTTTATTGTATATCTACTGATTTAGGCCTTTTTTTTAACTCAGGTGAGGCAGAATAGTAGCCTGAAGAATGATCCAATTCTGGGTGAAAATGAACATAATGGTAGAACAATAATCACATCACTCTCCCTCTCTTATGTCTTAGTGGCAAATGACCATACAACTGCACATTTGTTCCTATAACAATACCCTTTTATAATCCCAGAAATACAAAGTGAATAAAAATGATGTTCACATTAAGCAGTTTGAATGGTATTTGATAAATAATCTGGATATTTTAGAAGTGTTCACCAGTGGGAAATAATACAGGATAATAGTACAAGAAATGAGCAGAGCCACCATTAAATACCAAAAAAAAGGAAATAAAACCTGAATCTGAAGGGCTGGTGAAAAACAACTTTGATGTGATGTGAATTTTGAGTTTCATTCTAGTAATATCTTCTCCGTTGACAGGTCCATTGGGTGGAGATGATCAAACAAACATGTTATAGTATTTGGAGTTTTTATAGTTGTGTTTACCATAATAACCGTGTAACAAGAATAACATTACACCAGTTTGTTGTAAATTCCATATTTATCAAAACATCTGAGAAATTATACACTTAATGGGAAGAAGAGCTGGTTGTAAACTCATTGAACACATTACCGACCAGGAGCTAACTACTTCCTCCAAAACCTACAACAGCCTCTCCTCTACTTTCCTCTCTTCTCCTCTCCCCTTGTTTCTATCCAGTATTGATTTTCAATGTACAGTATAAATGAATTTTGTTTGCTATAAATTTATGGGGCCCTCTAGCATTCATAAATGTATCTTTCTCCATCTCCCCCACTCCTCAATATTCAGTCTTCTGCAAAGGTGTGAGGGGCTTTGTATGTCTTCTCCAGTGGCAATATCTGAACCAGGCAAACCCTGGAAATATCCTGTATCAAACCTCTCTCACACACACAGGCGGTGGCACACAAACATATTCAGTCAGCACTAAGAGGGAATGAAACAATATAACATTATAATCGGGGGTGGCTGTAGTATGTCCCCCCCTCAAATCTGTGCCTGAGGCACTTCCATTATTGTAATGCCTTCTGCTCGCTATTTGGACTGTGCAAGTAAACTTGTGTGTGTGTGTTTCCGTGTGTGACTGATAGAAATTCTGCATCTCAGAGGAATCGAAGTTATTACTTCTAGCTGAGTTGATGGTTGTAAATGAGCACACACACACCCACATGGGCAGACCAGAAACAGCAAAAATATTACTTTTTTTAATTTATAGTCTGGCTTTTTTGCTGCAGCTCATTTCAAATTTGGTATTGAATAAACAAATTTGCAAAAATAATAATGAAAGCAAAATATGTACATGAACCAGTCAGCAAAGTGCATAGAAGTGTGTGATTTAGATAAAACGTTTAACAAAGGGAAAAAGAGTGCTAAAAATGATCAAATTTATGGTGATGTTAAATAAACCTCCAACTTACACAAGCATTTCATAAATTAGCTTCACATCAGTCAGCTGTCATATTTGTTTTAATGTCAGAAGTCATGATAAATGATTACAATTTTCACTAAATATCTTCTTTTTGAGTATAAAATTTTATTCTACAAAAAAAATGTTTATGGACACTAAAGAAATTGTAATTTGTTTTATAATCAAGAAAACAGGAGCCAGTGAGCACAGTTCCCATCAAAGTAATGCTTCAGAAAAGTGATCAGAGGGAAAACTCTTCACAAGGATTATTTATGAAGATCTGATCTGCCGTATAAAGATCTCATCTGACTGACTGTGGATGACTTAGTGACTTCATGGTTAATAATGTGGGGGGTTAGGGGCGTTATTTTCAGGCATATCGAAAAAGTACTTTTTTTGATGCAATGTTATCAGTGGAACACTTTCCAGTCCTGCTCTACAAAGATGTTGTTGCAAGTTGAAAAATTGAGAGATAAAGGAGGAGGAAATAAGGACACAGTTGAAGAGTTAATGACTAAGGAGGGAGAAAATGGAAAATGATGGTTAAATTGGACCAGAGTCTCTTCAGGAAACCCTAGTATCCTAGGCCCTACACACATTCACACACACTTTTAATTTAACAACACTATCATTTTTTTACAAAGTTTCTATTTCTTTTGAAAATCGATGATATAATAATAATAATAATAACAATTTACAACTACTACAGTGTCTATGAGATGGCGTTTTATTTAAAAGTAGATGGGGTGTTAATGCAATTTGTTCACCCGCAGTTACATCACATTAACATTAGATGATGCATGAAATATACAAGTGGCTGTAACTAATTATGTGTAATTTATCAGCATGAGGATAACAGACCAGAATATAAATAAATAAATAAAAAGCTGAAAACATTAACTACGTGTACCCCCTGGTGAGGCCCTTGTTCTACGTGATGTGTTTGACATGAACAAAACAATAAGAGAAATGACGGAAAACACACAAACGTGACCCAGTTTGATTATGAGGAGAGAACTGAAGCTCACGCTATAAACAACCTGGAAACTTTCAGTTTTCCACATTTGGTTATGGTTGAAAGATTAAGTAGGTTTAAATTGGTGTTTGCATTGTTTAATCGTCTGTATTATTTAACATTGTCTGTATTGGTTTATCTCCCAGTGAAAGCCCAATTATCCGACTGAATAAGCTGCATCTGAACAGGTTTGTAAACAAAAGATCTTTACTGAGAACATAATAAAATAGTTTGCGTGGTTTCTATAAGACATGCTTTCTTGTTTCCATGTCCAGCCACGCCATCTATCCCTGACGTCTTCCGATATGTTTTGACATTAAATTGGACATATTTGTGCTTTGTTGTATAAAAACACTTTTTTGTTTTTTTTTTAAAAGCTCAAGGTTCCGATCAGCTTTGAATCCCCAGGAGGGACATCAACACTACGACTGATTATTACATTTTAACTGTAGAATCCACAGGTGAAGTTTTCTTGCACAGGTACGAAATTATCATCACAGATCAGGTGAAATCGAAAGACATCTTTCGGTGACACATTTTCGGATTTTGAATTATAAAAAAAATCAATTTAGTTATATATTTTTTTTTTTTATTTAGTTGTCACAGCCGGCAGACTTTCCAGAAATTAAAAAAAAAAAATTTATGGACCAATACCAATACACTTTTTTGATTATTCAAATGTTCCCTTTCAAGGTGAGGACATTTCAAGACTACTGAGCTCCCACTGTACACAGAAGCCAGTGTGTCCTTTATTGCTAGAATTTCTAATAAGTCCCTATTATGTCTCTACTAATAACAGAAGCAGAGCTGAGAAGGTGTGTGTATGTCAGTCTGTTTGTGAGTCTGTGTATTCTAGTGATACTGATGTAATAGCAGGCTCGAGCCCAATTAGCCTGGAGGGTAACTCCATAATAATCCCTACCCCTGGGCATAATGGCCTATTTAAGCAGCGGTGGACAGAATAACTGAGTGGAAGGAAGGAAAGAGAAGAAGCAAGAAGGGGGAAGAAGAAGCAGAAAGAAGACCAGCATGAAAGACTGGCGAAGACAAGGCTAACAGAAGGACATCTCTACCTGGATGGGAAAAACAGATTTATAAAAAATAAATAAATAAAATTAAAAATGATGATGTCTGTGTTGACAAGTTATAGCTTAAGTTAAAAAAAAGTCTCAAGTAAGTTCAACATCATTAAATATGATTTTCTGTTTGTTGACAGTTTTTATAGTTACAGCCATTGAATGTTTTCCACATTTGTGCTCTGCTTGCTGAAAACTGATCTAACTGTTTGTCATTTGTGGAAAGTCAGTACCAAACCATGTCAGGAAATGACATGTCACATGTCCCAAATCATGCCACTTTTAACCAAGAGGTGCAGTTTGAAAAATACGGAAAGGCAGCTATTTTCAGCAGCACATTCCATGACTTCACCTTTTCTCAGTGAACTATGCATGAATGTACAGAAAAATATTCACACATCAGAAAAACAAAAACATCTGGCCTACAGTTTGATCAAACATTATGTCAACTCTGTCCAACAGAAATCGAAGCTTAAGTTATAAGAACTTTTAGGTCACATACATAATTTATATGCCGGCAAAAAAATGATGATAAAAGGTTAAGTTGAATTAACACATCTTTTTTTGGTGTGTATTGAACACAAGATTTATAAAAAAAGTGCTTTTTATAAACACCAACCAAAAGAACACAGAGGTACCGTGCTTCTGAAATGATACCAAAGGGGAACGTGGTTCATTGAACCAAAAGGGGGAACGTGGTTCATTGAAGGGGAACGTGGTTCATTGAACCAAAAGAGAAATAATGTGCAATTTTTTGTGGACTAGTTGTGACCAAGGCACAGTCAAACAAATTTAAGTTCCTCTAAAAGGTCTCTAAATACCAAAAACTCCCGGTTGGTTGTGGATTTAGGTAGAAAAGAAATAAAGTAACCTATTAAATCAAATTATTTTAATTTTCTATCACTGCATTACAATTTGAACTTGTATTAAAACTTGTTTTGAACCATTGTTATACTGATGAATATTCTGTTGTTTATAAACAGCATGTTGAGAACTCACCTGACAAGAGGTCCACCTGGTTATGTTTTATCCCGTTTGATACGTTGATATGAACGATGACTTTTCCATCATGCAGGAAGATCCGGAGCGTGCCGTCATCAAGGTTACTGTACAGGAGGAGTCCATCAGGGTTCCATGTACGAAACTGGAAGCCAACAGATATGGTGTGGTGACTGGCTCGACCTGGCAGCTGGAGGAAGCTGGTGTCGTTGAAAAACACGGGAAAGGTGTGTGTTTCCACGCAGGCGAAGGACAGGTTGCGCTATTGGGGCAAAGTAACAGACAGATTAACCATGAAAGCTGTTTAAGTTAAGTGAAATACTTGACTGCATCAAGAAAATTGTCTCTTGGTTTCATCTTCCCTTTGACTCATGGAGTAAATGGTAACTTTGCTGAGGATGGTGTGAAACAAAGCAAACATTGCATCATTAAGGGAGGATTTAGGAACTAATTGTCATTGAGTTTCAGCACCAACTCACTCTTAATCAAATCCTTAGTTACTGCACAACATTGAGCTGCAATACTAACTCCAGGCTATTCCTCATTGCCTCCCCATGCCTGAGTGTGTGTTTTACTAAATTTGCAAACGGATCTGGGTTGATTAGAAATGAATGGGTGTGTGAATCATCAGAGGGAATTAGAGGTGCAGCTTTAATGAACTTGTTATGTGCCTCCATTTGTTCAGTCAGTGCAGCAGAGATTGAAGCTGATATATGGCCTTTCACTGTTGAGCAGTGAACAATAGATGTGGAGAGATTAGGGCAGGCAGAAATCATGCATGCAATTTTAGTAACATATTCAAGGACGGCAAAACACTCAGTGTTCTGAATTTGCTGAAGATGTCATCTAAGGAGTGTCGGTGTTGATGAGCTATTGTTATTTACGAAGGGTTGAAAACCGTTAATGTGCAAAAAATTGTCCTAGAAAACTGCAGAGGAGCAGAGGAGGCACATGTGATGTAAAACACAGACATAAGATTATCCACCTTCTAAACCATTAAGGTGTTTCTTCTCAGCTAAGGTGGGGCAATAATTTGTAGATTTAGTACTCAGCACATTTGTTTTCCTTACAAAGCTTGAGGTGTCAAGCTTCTTCCTGCGTGCCAGGTCTGTGATGTTGTCTCCATTGTAGGTGATGCTCTCCATGCATCCTTTAAAGTTCTTCCTCCCTCCTCCAACTGGCTTCCCACTGTACGGCATTTCTCCAAAACTCAACTAGAGAATGACGAAGTGCAAAAAAGAGACATTAACTTACATTTGTTAGCAACTTAACAAAGAGTCTTTTAAGGGCAAATAAATTAAACAGTTCATAACACGCAACTCTTACAAGCAATTGAAACAGACGTTCAACGTGATTTTTTTATTTTCCTGATTTTAATGATATTTAAATTGAGACCTAAAATATCTTTATTGATGAAAGGCTTGTTGGGTTAAGTATAGATCGCTAGAGCAACTCTCACGGTGCACTGAGCACACTCAGCATATTGCCTGCAATTTTTTTTTTACATTTCTTTAATTGTATGCCATGTATTTGCATGTTACTTGACGGCTACTGTTGTTTTCCTGCTTCTCGACACACTTCTCTGACTCCTGTCTCTCTGTATTTTTCTCTTCCCTTAGCTTAGCTTTGTGTTTTTGGCCTTTCACCCTTTACTGGCAAAGGACTGGAAGAAGGAAGACAGTCTGATAAACAAGTATCTGGAGAAAAGCAATACAAATCTAAACTGATCTTGTTTTGTACAGTTGTACATGTCTTCTCTAATTTTTCTTGAGTATTGCACTGGACTCAGAGGGAAGACAACATGATGGAGGGCGGTTTGCAATTACCAGTCGATACGTGCCTATCTGGAAGTATGTGTGTTAGTGTGTGTGTGGTGATGCTCCAGTGGTCCTGGTAATTACCGCCAAGTGTACACACCATGGTATTGGGTCTGCTAGCTCAATTGGGAGCAGAACACACACATACACATACGCACACTCATTCACATACACACATATACATAGACATATACTGTATATTGTACCGGCGCCATGATAAAATATGTAAGCCAGGTGCATTGCAGAGCCACACTTCAGTGTGATGGAGATGGAGCCACAATTTCAATATCTGCAAAAATTATCTCAGGCAATAACGCTGCTGGGATCTACTGGAGGATTACCAAACACAAATACACCCTCACACACTCTCACAGGCATACCCTTTTGTGCAGATTTCCCAGAAGACCCCATAATTCAACAGCTTTAGTTTAATTGGACTGTGGTTTGTCTTGGCCCATTTCTCTGTATCGTACTTAACGGACTACATCAGCCATATCAGCATTACCAGGTGAAGGTCAGACACAAATATATATCAATATGTACGCACACTTACAAATAAAGGGCACAACAACAAATAGATTATCCTTACCTCACTACACCTGCAAACACAAATACTTGCCATTTCTATTTTGTAATCCAAAATCACTTTCCTGGTTTAAGTATTATTAGCTGAACTCTATGCTTTCCATTGCCTACTTACATTAATTATGTGAGATTCATAGATTTGTGTTAGAGCAGTGGAACCCAGCATCTAATTTCCTTTTCAGTTTTAATGTTCTGTACAGTACAAAGAGGTCAAGTCATGGAGCAGTTTGTCCAAATGCAATGTTAAAATCACTAAAGGCTATTGACACGTTGAAAAGTAATTATCAAGCATGACGCACAAACTGAAGCGAAACATAATGAAAAATGTAAATTCAATATTTATCTGACTAGTGTTATGGCTTAAAAAAACCAAAACAAGTTTGACTCCTATTTTACAAAGAGCCAATCATTACAAAATGTTAAACAACCTGATGTGACCCTAACCCATAATGATTTCTCCAACACCTATCGAGCAGCTAAAAACTCTCTTCTGTAGAGAAACTACCAATACTTGTGCTGTTCTACACAAAATAGTTGCTCTGTAAGAGAGATAAAAACTTTACTTAACTTTATTGTTGATTATTTTGTTATTACATTTTACACTAACCAGAACATGGGTATTTCTCATATGATTTCTGTTACCAAAATCTGCATTACACAGTACACAATACTGATTTTTTTTCGTACCTCATAGTCCAAATCCAGATGGTCAAATTCCCCGTTGGTTCTAAAGTGTTGAGTGTGACTGTCCAAGGTGAAGTTGACATTGCGACGGTAGCGCTCAATCACCACGGAGTGCCAATGGTTGTCGTCCAACAGGCTGCCAGTGGTCACAGAGGTGTGACCCAGGATGGAGCCATACTGGTTACTGCCTGTATTTAACATAGATTAGGTTTTAATAGGCAGAGGCAGAGAGGGAGTGCCTTGTTTTACATTGAAATCACTGCAGAGGACAACGTGCTCAGAGTTTCCAGTGTGTGTTGTTTTTACAGAGTGATTTTGTAATGCATCACAATCTCTTAAGGAAACCAAAAAACAGATTTTTTTTACCATTAGAGTGACCAAAATGGAATTGTCAGGAATGAATAACACACTTTAGACAACCATTTTAAAGACTTTTGCAAAAGCTGCGATACATAAAAGTAACTATTTACCTATTAAAGTAACTATTTAACTATTTAATTACCTTCTGAAGGAAACTGTTATAAATAGTTTGGGTGTAAAATACATTTTGTGTTGTGTACCCTGTTGGCAACTGGTGGCAATGGAATGTGAATACAATGGCAAATAAATGGGTGAGATTGTGGGTTTGAATAAAAATTCTTTGCACAGTTCAGCATCCATATGGAATTCTCCTCAATCGTCTATGTAACATAGCTGTGCACTTTGTAGAACAATAGAACGAAAGTTAATTTTTTGTAAGAAAAATAAAATTGCACCAGCTCCGTTTCTTGATGACAAGAGAAAAAGCCTAATATTCTCTAATATGCCTCTGTGTGTATGCCATCATTCTGTTGCTCTTTTAGTGCATACAGTGGGATGGGATCACAGTACTTGGTATAAATACCAGAAAAGCTGTGTATAAATACAGTCCATTTACCAACTAGTGGTTAAGTTTATTCATCATAATTTCCAGGTGACAGGGATCTTGACTGATGTGGCATATATTAGAGTTAAGGTTTAGAGTCTAAGGGAGCGCAAAACGTGATTGTGATTGTAGACCTGTCACAGAAGTACAAACACAACCGCAGGAGCCATATGCATTAGATTGAGTGAGTAAAAAAAATCAAACAGCAGAGTCAAATGAAAAGGACTGCAGCGGCCAATGGAAGGATGAATGTCTTTGGCGTGACTTCTTGCCTTGCTTTAACTTAAAAATAATTTGATTTTCCTAGTCTTTTACCATTTTCTCCATTTCTACTTGATTGACAGAATAATCATCTCTGTAACATCATGAAAAATAACCCCAATTCATCTCTGTAACATAATGAAAAATAACCCCAGCCTGCATATTTGTGTGGGTAAATAGTCAGTGGTAACCAAATTTGGCGCACAAAAGTTGCTCAGTTCGACTCCAGGTCCAATTTGTTCCCATGCAGGCCCAGTAACTTCCAACTCCTGGCTAGGATATCATCACAAACTATATGAATTATTGTATCTAATGAATACCATGTTCTGTTTGTGTGTGTGTTTCTCACCCAGGTTTATCTGCAGCAGCAGCTTGGCTCTGTGCAGCTCCAGTGTAATGTAGTCTCCCTGCTGTCCTTCTCCGTGGAGAATCACTCCGTCGCTTTCTGACGTCTTAAACCTCAGAGCAATCACATCCTTGATGATCTTCATCTTCTTCATCTAGAAACAATGAATGAAAAGGCCAATTTGATCAAGATACAATTATTTTTAAATTCATATGGGGTACAACGCAAGGAAAAACCCTTGTTGCCAAAATTCCTGGTTATCTGCTCGGAAATTAATGAGTTAAATTGTGAATTTCCAATTATTTTTCTTTGTACTGCATATTTTTGTATCCTATGGTTGTTTTTCTAGGAAGATTTTTTGTCTTTTCTGTATGTGAAATGGAAGTATTATAGAAAAACAGTACCTTAAAGCGATATGCAATTACACCCTGTCCATCGAAGTTGATCACATCAGCCCCTGAGACAGTAGACAAAACGAGAGGACAACAGAGAGTGAGAGAGGTAAGAAAAAAACAAACAGCTATACGCCAAGGTAAATGTGAGGTAGCTCACTTCTCTTTTTAGAGAAAATATTTTAAATAATCGTTTTTCTATGGGACAAATCCTGTGTAAGTCTAGTTAAAAATCAGTGTTTGCTGAAAAACATCTTCGGGCTTTGGTTGCAGAGATTTGGAAGATTCACATGTTTCCTCATAGGAACACATTTGTTACTTACTGGGGGACTTGAATTAAACACAACCGCCATTAATATTAATACTTACACCTGTGTGTTTAGTGCTGTGACAAGCCAGAATGTCTGCAGGAGAAAAGGCCTGCGGTGGGAAATATTTTTTAAGGACTTAAATATTTGCTAAATAAATGCAAAACAGATGCACATTTAAACAGCAGGTCTACGTTAATTTTGCTCAGTGAGCGATGAAACAAGTTGACAGTAAAAGGATGATTACCACTGCAACTGTTTTTTATGAGTAATATAAAACTTCATGAATGCATCATGATGTTGTTTATTTATAAATGACATACATTTATTTAATATGTAGGGATGTAACGATGTTCTGCAGATAGTGCACTAAAATAAATTACATACAGATACGAAACATGCTTTTATTTTACTCCAGATTTTGGTCCAGTGTTTCTCAATTTTTGAACTACTGCCTTGTGTCCTGAAGGGTTAGCAGTGATAGTAAATAACATTTGCAAATAGTTTGCATTACCATGTCTAAAAATAAATGACATACAGCACAGGCTTCTAATAGGTGTCTCAGAGTCTGGAAATAGGCAGATGAACATGCTAATCAACACTTGATTGATCTCTCTATCTTTCTATCTTTTTTAGACAGTCCAAAATGTTTTTATTTTTTATTTTAATTTATGTTACCATGTATTATTTTGTGTTGTTTTGAAGAAAATTGACATTTTGTTTTGAAACTGACAGTATTAAGGCTTATGACTTTACCAACTATAACAATTAATAATATATAAATAATTATCATAATTATATTGTCCTTTATTATGGTTGTCTATACCCCTCAAAACCCCGCTCCCCATCAACCCTCCACCCGCCCACCACCACAAAAGCAGTAATTTTACCATGTCGAGTTTTTTACGGTTTTACTTACAAAAGGAAAAGAATCACAGCACAAGAGACACCTTGACTAATTGATGATTGTAAAGTACAACTGATATGATTGGCCATGTTCAACACACAACTAAGTATTTCCCTAGTAAACAAAGTATAACGGTGGTATAACTTCATTGCCCTTTAATAACCACATGCTGCCTCTCCGCAGGTGCAAATACTTGATTTTCGATCTTTATCACAACTTTACCCTTCGATATTATCCTTCTCTCTCCTCACGTTCACTACTTGCTTCTACTACAGACTATAGTGAACGGTGCCGTATATTTCTTATATACAATCTATGGGTCAAGAAAATAAATATGACAAAAACAGAAAAAGCAACAACATCAGGCGAGCCAAGAATATCACTGATCCTGATACAGCTCTTAAATCGGTGTCCTATAAAATATACAAATATATAGCTTTGCCTACCATGGTTTGTTTAATGTACAGTACTATGATTGAATAATAGTGGAGGGAGGTTTGTTCATATATGCTGTAATTGTAAAAACAAGAAAACAAGCAGAAATAGTATAAAGCACCAATTTAGGCTTAATCACACTAATGTATAATTTTTTAAACCAAATTCTTGCCATTGATGACTGATTTATTTCTGTGTGTGAGGTGGGAAATAAGGCCAAAAGTAAGACATAAATTTGCTGGTAAATAAGTGCTCCTTGCAGCACCTTTACTTTATCTCTTTATTTACGCCTACAGTTTTCCAAAAAGCATTACACCTCTGAGCCTCAAGACTACAACAACGCTCTTTTAGCAGTTTATGTGTTTGGCCTCGGTCCTGCTAACAAGATGGATGTTATCCATAAACAGAATCTACATGAGAAGAGTTCTGAGACTTGACAGATGATGGTAATATATCACACTGACAAGTGATGTGGAGCAACGTTGGCATAAATAGGCCACGAGGTAAAGTCAGGAGGGATGTGTGCGTACATCACCTCTTAAATCTAACTTGCATGAGAGTAATGTTATTTGTGTAGGAAATTTGATTTAAACTTTCTCTTTCTGTCTAGTTTCTATTTTAAACTCCTTATTCGGGCTTCACTTTAACCAGACTCATCTATGAAATAATTGATTCCGTGATTCCATGTAAAATATAAGGAAATAATGGTTTTAATGACAACCTCTAGTTCTGACACAGACACACTGAGCCTGTCAAAATATATCCCATCTGAATCACTGCATAGGATTTTAATTATTGCACATAGACCTCAGTAATTTGGTCTTTTAAACAAGATGTTTGGGTTTGTATGACCGTTCACTTACAGTGTAGTGGTTCTACCTCCCATTCCTTTTGTCTTCTGTCTTTTACATCCCCTCTGTGAGTGCCTAAAATACCACTTCATCTCTTTTTCACCTCTAAGCCTGCAAGTTCGAAAGAAAAACACTTTCAAGGAGCTGACTCTAAGAACATCTACACTCTTATAGCACATCTGCTCTGGACTGAATCCATTGAGTAGCTTATCTTTGAGCATTTCTGCTTTGGTTCATTTTCCAACAAATGGAGACCCAAGCAGACAAAAGACACATCAATGAAAGCCTTGCGAAAAACGTTTCACACCATTGTTTGTCTGCCTATGGATGAGTGTGTTCAACACTGCAGGCTCTAAAAGACCATGAAGGATTGAGAGGACAGTGACATTAGCTGACAGTACAGGTGTAAAACGTCTGTTTATGTTTTTATATACTCTCATACATTTATTGATGCAACAAATAATTGATGTTTTTGAAATTTTGTTGTTTTGGTATCTGTGAGAAACCTTAGGTGAGAAGATGCTCAAGTGTGTGACGTCATCAGCAGCTGTGGATTTGCACTTCTAACAAAACCTGCCTGCTCATAAATGTGGTTTTTGTGTGACGATTAGTGACCTGCGTCTGAAACATGCTGCCAGTGAATCTGCAGATTAAAAGATATGCATGTGTGTACCCTATAACAGTAATTTATTCAGAACCCTAATTAAAATGTATTATCAAAATCCATTTGGCAGCTTTAATAGGATGAAAGCAAAGAGGCCATAAGAGAGTCAGTTGTCTGGATGATACATTTGTTAATAAGTGAGTGACAGAGTGTTAATAGGGCTGCTATGGTGAACAGTTCAGAAGGTTTGTTCGTACAATTAGAAGATTCATCTCTCAAACTAGAAGATAGGATTTTAGATATCTGGGAGAATTTTCAGGCAACATCGGTCTTCCCCTGTTGTTGCAGTTGTGTAGGGTTATCATTGGATACTGAATGACTTTCTTTGGAGGTCTCTGGAGCACAAACTAGCAGGAAAATCTCAATACACCATGAGGCTCTCCCTTTGGTGCCTTAATCATAAATATTAATATGTTTTACTTAATGAATGTTTCCATCTGTGCTTGTCTGTGTGTGTGTTTGTGTGTGTGTGTGAGGAGGTGGGGGGTGCTGATCTCTACTTACAGTAGGAGCATCCATAGACCTCGATGCGGAGCCCTATCCGCCCCTCCTCGCTCCAGTCCAGTGGGACAAGCCTCAGAAAACGTGTCACGATTCCCTGCTGCAGCTCATGGCGAACTGAGCTCTCTGAATTGGAGTTGCCAGGGAAGGCCTTAAATAAAACACACAAACACACAAATGCACAGAAACATGCACAAAATTTAATTATTTATATTAAAATGTAAGGCCTGCAGTCAAACAAACAGCTCTGGGACTTACTGTAGAACAAGCATATTTGTTTCCCTCATTACATTTTACCCTCCAGGTTCACGCACACAAAACCTACAAGATAATTACGAGTCATCATAGCTCCTGTCTGTTGCAAGATGGTCTGACTGCAGGGAGGGAACTGTATGTTTTATCGACCACTGCATGTAGGGCTAAATTCCTCCGCACATATCATTTCAATTCTTGGCCAACTGTGTGTTCCCACAGACTTACGGTGTTGTAGAACGATACAATTTCCTTGTAATATTTGCACAGAGTTGCTGATGCACTATCTGAAACTCTAGTCTTAACAAATGACATAATGTCTGCAAGCAGAACCAACACACAACAAGAGTCATTCAGACAATAACTGTAGCGATGTTTCATTCAACTTTTGGTTTTGTTTTTGTTGTGTCTACAGTTAAGTAGTTATTTCATAGGAAGGTATGAATTACAAAGTGCAGAAACAAAAGAAAAGCTCCAGATCAAGTTACTCTGACTTCCTTTCCTCTTTTTTCCCTCCTTTCCTCCACCCTTTCGTCTGGCATCTCTTATTTCACCTGACCTTGTCCACGGTGGGAGAATCTCTCTCACACTCACTAATTCACCAGAGTGTAGACCCTGAATTATTTACTCTACTCTGAAATAAACATACACACAATAAACCTCCAGTCCCAATGGATGTTATCCACAGACCCAAACACTGTGAACATTTGGCATCATGGACAGCCCTATAGGTAACAAGACAGAAGCAAGACACAAGTCAGCCGTGTGGCTTTAAAGATAAGAAATTGAGGAGGCCGAACTGTGAATGAGAAGAGAGAGAGAAAAAAAAGAACCACTCGGCTCAAAACAGTTTGCTTTAAACTCACTTCTCAATGACCCATACACATGCTTTTGAAGATATGCTATCAGCAAAGAAGGAGATAGTGCAGAGTTCATGCTGAGCTCGGGCTGACTGGACGTTCTCAACACAGTGGAATGGACACGGGTAGATGTGTTCACACTTCACTTTAGATTTTTATCATTATTTATCCCACACATTTTAAAAGAATGCACAAGATGATACATTTTCAACTGCCTGTTACAAATCCACAAAATTCCACACAAGCAGTTGTTGTTTTTTTACCTGCCTTTCCTGACACAGCCCTACCTAGGATTTGGCAACCAGGTGGTTTTGAACCTTGAAACTTTTGGTTGTGGGCAACGCTCCTACCACTGAACAACTAGCTCTCCTCCATAACGAACAGGTAACAGAAAATAAACTATATTGAATTTAAAGGTGACCTAAAGCATTACTAGTTGATTTGGTGAAGTGGTAAATTAAAACTAGTTTTTGCTGACCCTATTTTTAAATCACTAATATAGGTTGAAAAAAAAAACATCAGAAGGAATGAATACTAATATTTTTGTTTGCATATTTCACACACCTTTTGAAGCCATACATTAAATCCCTAATGTGAAACCCTTAGTTCCTACCTGAAAAAATACTCTATGACACTGCATCTACAGGAAACGTGGCTTATTGTGTACAGGAGACTTCACTAGTTTCACTCCAATTGCCACTTTACTCTTTCTACCCGTGTCAAGGTTTAAGTGAAGGAGCGAGAGAAAGAAAGAGTTAACAAAATCATTTTCACTCTCCAAAACCAAAGCTTTTTCTCTCTCGCCATTTTTCAGCTTCCTGCTTTTATTCCTTTATTGTGCTCATTCCTGGATCCAGCACTTATCTTCACTTAGTTGAATGAACAGCTCAATTCAAAAAGTCATTGCTATGCAGGGTGGAGGGGAGAAGGTAGCACAGTGTTGCGAGGAGGAACAGAATGAGGAGAAAAAAAAAAAGTAGGAACCGAACAGCTCACAAAAGTTTGTCTAGTCAAGCGTTTAATTCCTGTTCCCTGAAAAGTCCAATCATCAAGCAAGGAACTAATGAGTCATCCTGAATTAAGGTGTGAATGTGTCACTGTATGTAGTGAATGTGCGTAATAATTTCTACACAGCAAATGTGCTCGTCAGTCTTACTGTTCTGGAAGCTAAAAGCACCCAAACGAGAATGTGTGCGGCTTAAAAAAATCAATTGTTGACAAAAACCTCCAGGTTTTTGTCTCCTATTTCTCCTGTCAATCTAAAAATGTATTATTAACTGGTTACTGTAAATGAAAGTGACTTAATACATAAGTTTGCTAACAACTGAAAAGAAAACTGCTGCAAATTGATAGCAGGTCTTCCCTTTGGTGAAGAATGCCCAAGAGGTTCAAATAGTGTAAAGATTCATACAGTGAAAATGGCTATAAAAGCTACAAAGTGATGTAATTTGGAATTAAGTTCCTAGAATACACTGAAATCCAAAGAACACACACTCAGCCAACTATGGTTGCAATAAAGTGGAAGTAGACAGGTTTAAGGACATTGACACATTTATGAAGATATTATGCAAAACTGTTGACACTCCTCATTAATATTTGCAGCAGTTTTCCCTATTCCAGAACATTATGTCAGTTTTACCAGTTTTGATCTCCTTTAAAGGAAAAAATATACAAAAAAACAATGACAACACAACGCAACAAATCACTTTCTCAACTACAAATCCCAAAAGAAAACTCCTCTTCATAGTAATATTTTTAATTTTTAAGTATTTTGACATAAAGTACTTTTACATATACACTTGTATTTTCAGAAAAGCTACAGTATATCTGTACAATTCTCTCTCTCTCGCTTATTTTCCCCTGGCTACAAATTTCTTTTCCATGCAAATCTGTTTCAAATCAGTGAAAAAGTGTCTATCAAGGTGTGAGTGCACATCTGCGTTAGTGTGTGTACGTGTGTGTTGCTTTGACACCCAGAGACAGACATTTTCTGAAAACTGATCTCCAGATACTGTGGAACAACAAGTGAAAGCCTTTTTTCTGGTGTTTGTCTGGTGCTTGGTGCTGCTACAACCTTTGTTAGACCACCGCACAGGGCTACAGTCTGTGTGTGTGTGTAAGTGTCTATGTGCGTTAGAGAGTAAAGAGAGAGGATTTTTGTGTGTTCCTTTCTCAGTGAAGCAGGGGAAATCACTTCGGCCTGGTCTGGTCCTTTGTTTTTATCAGCAGTCTATGGGACAAAACATTAGAGCCGTGGAGAAATCTGTGTTTCTGTGAAGCCCTGTGGGTCGTTCTGCCCGTATGGGTATGTTCCTTTGTGCCAGCAAAACGGGATGCCAAATGTGTGACAATTTAGGAGTAACCAGGTGGTGGTAACTGTGTGAGTGTGTTTTCAACTTCGTGCTGGCCTAATTACAGTAAACCTGGAGAATTGACTTCATGGAACACAATAGCTTGTCACACTATAAGAGACTTTTCATTTTTCTCACTCAAGCAAAGCTTTTCTCGACACGTTCACACCGAGGGCTCCCGAGTCAATCAGTCCTCCCAGTGGGTGCGAGGACCAGAACCATGTTGTAAGAATGATTTTAAACTGTGGGAGCACAGCTGCAGACTGGCCTAATGACAACCTTCATCTAAGCTATATCCGAATTTGATTTATGTATTTCAACAGGAGTAACCAGCGTGTTGACGGTGTAACGGTTGTGTTATGACAGTTTTTTTTTTATTTGTAGGATGTTTCATAGTGGAACAGTATGTTCTTTTTCTAATGTGATAATTCATTTGTAAAACTAAAAATATAATTTAATATACAGCATATTAACACATGGGCAGAATGACGAGCAACATAACTACAAAGATTCCCCTAAACACTCTCTTCCCGCAAACATTATTAACAAACAGTACTAAAGATCGAACGAGAAACAATTGTGCCAAATGTCTTCTTCTTCTGTACCAATAATTACTGTAGAACAATCAGACAAGTAAATTGCTCAATAAAAATCAAATGTTTTATTATAACACCATCAAGTTTTCTTCTCTCACCAGTAAATTATCAGCCGTCGGCAGGAATATTTTTCATGCAGAGAATTGGATTTTGCAGACTGGTGTGGACACACACACAGAGAATAAGAGGGGGGTAGAAAGAGAGAGAACACAGCTTTAAGAGCCCATTAGTCAGGCTGTGGACATTTGGCCCCCATTCTCCCCTTTTCCACACCAGGGACCAGCACTGATGGAGTGAAGAAAGCTATAAAAACCTCACATACAGCATAGGCTGACTTTCTGTGTTTATGTGTGTTTTTCCTCTGACCCTGCTGCACATTTCAATAACTCATATTGTGAGAGTGGACGTGCGCTCTGACACGACGTGTGAGAGTTTGTTCTGACTCATATTGGATTTCTTGTGCTTGTTATAATGCTGTCTACATTTGAGGGAACTTTTAACCTAAACGCAGAACCGAAAAGGATCTAAAAATGATTTACACACAGACAGTGTCAGTCACTACACTAAACTTAAATATAGCATTTCAATGGTGTTGAATGGCATAAAATGGTGAACAACTTAAATGATTTGTGGTAAAAAGACAGACCAATGTCTCCATATTTAACTTTAGAAAGCTATATTTGCTTTTAATTGAATTTGAATTTCCTTCATTCCTTATCTTGAATAAAGTAAGGTCCATAAAAACAGCTCACATTCAAGTCGTTTGAAGTCGTGGCACTAAATCTAGATATGCAAACGGGAAGATGAAAAAAGCAGAGCATTAATATCAATGTGAGAATGAAGACGCAACGTCTGAAGATGTATCTTTTTTTAACCATGCTAAAAGAGCTCTGTGTCTGAATTTGTTCAATTCCAAAAATATTTGATATTAACTTAATCTTTTATTTCAATCATAACAATCTTTTGTTCCAGACACACAATCCCATATGCACCTGCTTTACGAGCTCAGTCAATCAATTCCAGGATTTAACACCTGGAAATATCCCTTACTTCACACGTCATACCCGATGTGATAACAATGTGTGAACCAAA